TTAGTTTGATTTGTGGCATGTGGTCAAATCTTGGAAGGGTTATATTAACCATAGCTTTATCTATTTTGTAGCAAGTTTGTTTTAAGGAGATATGGTCAATTTGAATTGATATGGATCTTATCTTATTTATATTTGGTAGTACTTATCTACTTGATATTATTTGATATATCCTTATGGAATATGTGACATGGATCGTGCAATTTTATAGAATGCATGATATTTATTTTATTTAAATATATTGATAAAAAATGGTTTAGGACATGGATCGTGCAATTTTATAGAATGCATGATATTTATTTTATTTAAATATATTGATGGAAAAAAAGTTTAGAAAAAGGGGATAATGGTTCATGCATCTTGCATAATGTTGATAGTTCCCATCTATGGAATGGGTGGCTCAGATCTCTCACCCCACAAGTCACCGTTGATTGACGGTCTATATTCAATCTTACAAGAAGAGACAAGTTAAGAAAAACCCTAATCTTATTCAAAGCTTATAAAAACTGGATTGTCTCTACCCAAAAATTATCTACACCTTATCTCTTGTACCGAATTCCCATATTTATCTCTCATATCCCAAAAAAAAGACGCACGCACCACTCTCTTATGTTTAATTTCTCTCTCACACATTGTGAAAGAACCTAAGGGTTTAAGTTATGGAACTCTTCTCTCCTATCTCTAAAATATAGATTTACTGCTAAGGGTTTTATGGTTAAGCAAAAAGAGAATTCATCTCTCTCAAACTAGGTTGCTAAGAGAATTCACCAAGGATTTGAGTTTGTGATCAAAGGGGTTCATATTCCATTGGTGTGGCTTGGCCGAAATTTGTTTTTCTGATTCCAGATTGAAGCTAGATCGTTGATCCCACGCCATCGGATGGTGGTGACTCGGTGTGGGGTGTAATAAGCCCGGTTGAGGTAATCTCCGACACTTCTTTTTTTTTGTTTATTGCAATCTTATCTTTTATTCTCAAGCATAGTGCATAGTTGTTTCAATGGCATCAAGTTGTTAATATCTTGATTTTATTGTTATGATGATTTTATTTTGAAATTTATCTTATTATAATAAATACCACCTGTAAGTAATCTTTTGTCAAAAGAAAGGGGTGAAAAAAAAAAAAAAATGTATTCCCCGATAAAAAATCACATAGGTCTTTCTTTCAAAATAAAATGGTCCACAAAATATTTAAGGATTGTGCACTATGAGTTATCTTTGTTTTATAGTGATCATAGTTATTCTTAGCTATTGGATGTGAATTTGGACAACTTGATGCATGTCACAAAGTTTAAGATTTTCTCTTTTGAATTTTGAGTCTAATCATTCACGCTCTTATAACCACCTGATTGAGTGATTATGATCTTCTTTTAATAAAGTAAAAGGAAAACTGCTGCATGCGGTGGGGACCACATTTCTACATTTGTGGTCCCCAAGGTAAAAGCATTCATCGTAAATATAGATTCAAATAGCTAGTCCATCTAAAAATACTTGAAACTAACAGTCCAAATATTTTCTTAATAAAATTATTATTTTTAATATTTAAAATTTATTTATTCTTTCATATTCATAATCTCAATGTTAGAGATTACATGACCTTAAAAATTAGGCCAAAAATTCCATATCAAAAATAGATTTTTAAGATGTGACCCATTTCTACATGGACTCATAGAAACCGTGTCCTAAAGTAAATGATCACTTCGTATACTTTTCTACAAAATTCAAGTTCAATTAGGTCAAAATTTGCTGACATGGATAGCTAAAAAGATTAAATTACTCAACACAAAATTAAAAGAAAATTACAAATAACCTCCTAAGACTCGATTTCTATGCAAGGTACCCCCAACAAAACTTTGCGGTCAGGCGTATTCTTAGGGCAGTCTAGTAGTGTAATGTCGGTCTGGTAAATAACAGTATCCGTCAAGGAGTACAAGTGGCAGTTCGGCACCAACAAAGAACAGTTTGGCAATAGGCCCATGCGATTCGATATTGCCAAAGAGCAGTCCGACAATAGGCCCATACAGTCTGGCAACAGGCCTATGCGGTCCGGCAATAGGCCCAAAGTGCGGTCCGACAATGAGTCAAAGTGCAGTCCGACAATGTCAAAGAATAGTTTGGCAGTGTCAAAGAGGGATCTGGCAACCCATGTAAGCCCACATGAATGTCTGGCCAAAATTAAATTAATAGTTTGGCAGTGTCAAAGAGGGATCTGGCAACCCATGTAAGCCCACATGAATGTCTGGCCAAAATTAAATTTTTATGTACCTAAAAGAGCATTTTTGTCAAAAAAAAAAATACTTTTTTTACTTGGGGGGTGTTTTTTAGAAAGTGTTTTTTTGTGGAAAAAAGTAAAAAACAATTTGGTTGGGTGTAATATTCCCTAAAATTAGTGCGTGAGGGCGCACAAATATACAAACTTATAGAACACCCATTGCCATCTCCTCCATACTGTAACCTAAACACCTTTCTTTTCATTCATTATTACTTATGTAACACTAAAGCAAATATGGTTACCATGCTTTTCGAGTTATATAAGACGAACATTAGTTTGTTACAATTCCATGAGCAATTTTCTCAAATTAAAGCGGGGCTTCGTTTGTCCAACGATATGTGTGCAACTTATACTATAGAAGGTCCACCTCAAAAATCCATAGAAACGACTGCCTCTGTTGGAAAAACTTATTGATCATCTTGACCTCGAAATATTTCTCAAAAATCCATAAAAAAGACTGCCTCAGTTGGAAAACCTTATTGATCATCTTGACCTTGAAATATATGAATACAAAGAAGGATTATCTATTTTTAAAATTTTTAAGTGTTTATAGATCTACTTGATCTGCACCATTTTTTAAAATTTTAATTGCTTAGCCATTGTATCGTTTTCATCC